TGTGTGCCCTTTGAAATAGTTCCTAATGGGCTATATATAAGGAATCCTCCCCAGTACATCACACAGTCTGAATAAGAAACATTTCCAAGAAGAAAATTATACTTATTTTTACTGGAAAAAATACATTTATTTTTACTAGAAAAAATGATGGGATTTGATCCTAAGAACAACAATTTCTGAACTTTCAAAAACCTCCAAGCTCATGTTTGATATACCATTTGCTGGACTAGCTATAAGCCAATATCCTGCTGTTTCTATTCAAAAGGCATTAAAGCTAGCAATTTTCTATCGCAAGCATTGATATGTGTACCTTTTCAATTTTACATTTTTTTATTGAGAACATTCCGTTCTTAGTCTGGAATGAACATCCAATCAAAATTCTGTAGCTTTTTTTTAAATGCAAACTACTGCATTTTATATACTGTACATGTAAGCAGATAAAGGATGAATGCTATACTTTTTTTCTTTCAAATATGTGGTTACTATTATGTGCAGCTAAACTCATTACTGTTCAGGAGCGTTATAGTTTTATTCTAGTTTCATTCTAGAAGAAGGCAATGTCAAAGTTCTGTATTTTTATCAAGAAAACAACATGTAGTCCATGTAGTTTTTAAGAATTCAGCTCATTTCAAAGGGAACTTTACTTTTACTCGCCTCAAAATATAGTTCTCTGAAAACAGCATGTCACAAACATTTTGTTTTTGGTAAGCTTCCCCAAGTTCAGCCATTTAATACTTTTGTTTCTATGTGGCCTGCTTATATTAATATTTAATTTAATACAGTACTGTCTCCTGGCATTCCACGTCGAAGAACAATTAATACAAATGTCTCACTTAGAGAAAGTGTGTGTAAGAGATTGGACAACCATTTGACTTAGTGTCTGCAGAAGCAGAGTTTCTAATTCTCATGCAACAGTTGTTTTGAAACCATTAGCTAATGGATTTTACATTTGATTTGGCCTTGGACTTAAGGCGATGGGTTTTTGGCATCTGGTTTGATTAATGGCTTTGGAAGAAGAAAAACATAAAAACAAAGATTATCTCCACAATGTTAACCTGTACCAAGTGAATGATCTGGGGCTAAATTCTTCTATTAAAAAAAAAATAAGTAGAAAACAACTGTGAATATTTTTGATGATTTGGTGACTTCACCTCCTCCTTAATATAGATATTGATGGAAATGTTGTCAGAAACATTATTGTATCCTGACCAATTTAAAGGTTTGGCATAGTTATAAGAACAATTGTTCCATTTGTGGCAATTTGTTCATTATGCGAATATATGAGGCACATGTCAACCATCCGAATACTGAATTCAGAATCAAGGAATCTTCAAGGCTTTGAAGTGCTATAAAAGAGAAACTTTATTGAATACACATCTTGGAACTGAAGGAGCAAAACCAGCTCTGGTTTTCCTGCACAAAAGTCTGGTTAGTTAACAATAGCTTTGCATAACTCCCACCCACCAAGTGTTCACATTGTCCAATCATACTTCTTTGCTTTGTTATGAGAACGGTCCACTTCTCCATCAGACAACTGTTTTTGTGACCTTGGTTCTCACTGACCGTGGACAGCTTCTTAGAATCCCATTTCTTTCCAACACTTTCTATCCCTCCCCCTTGTTTCTATGGCAAGTTGAGTAGCAATAGAAGTTAGCAGGCATCGTAGCAATTCAACCTTGACAGCACATCTGTTAACTGTTCATTATGGGTAGTCCTCAACTTTATGGCCTTAAGCTGGGCCTGGAATTTCAGTTGCTAAGCAATGCAATCATTAAGCGAGTCAGAACCGATTTTGTAACCATTTTTTACTGCAGTTGTTAAGCGAATCATCACAGTCGTTAAATAAATCACATAGATGTTAAGTGAGCCATTCAGTCACTAAGCAAATCCAGCTTCCTCAATTGACTTGGCTTGTTGGAAGCTGGCTGGGAAAATCACAAGTCACAGTCATGTGACTACAAGATGTTGCAACCATTGTAAGCCAGTTGCCAAGTGCCTGCATTGCAATCACATGACTGTGGGAATGGTACAACGGCCATTATTATACAGATGGGATGTGAATCACTTTTACAGAGGTTGTCATAACTTCAAACCATTGTCTTAAGTCAAGGACAACCTATACTACAAAAGAAATGTGAAAAAATGGTTAAGTGGGAGGATTACGATGGTACCAGGGGCTTGCAGGCTAATAACTCCCATTAAAGGTTCTGCTAATGATAAGATTGAGATGATAAAGGTTATCTTATTAGTAAGGGATGAGGTATTAGGATGAGAAATAGAATATGTTTGTGAAATAAAGTAAGAAGCTATCTGAGTAAATAATAAATGTATTTTAGATATGACAATTATTTTGTAATGAACTAAGGGAACTTTGGGTCACCCGAAATCTAAAGACTATAGATATTAAGTTAACTGGAATACTGTAACTAAAATTAACTGAAATTCAAAACAGGATATGAAGGCGTATAAGACAAAATATTATTTTAACTTACTGAGTTATAATTAGCAATGTATTAATTTGAATGTGATACAATAACTAAGGGAAATAGAGAGGAAATTGTTGATGATGTTACCTGACATATGCATGAAAGAGCTTGTTATTTGATTATGGACCACCCAATCACCATGTTGCTTCCCTAACACTTGGAGCTTTGTAAAATTAGAAAATTAATAAAACTTGTTTTTTAAAAAAAAGGGTGAAGAAGAAATGAAAGAGGAGCAGCACAAAATACTGAGACCCCCTATCTAAACTCCACAATGGATTGAACCTTCACCAAATTAAAAATTGTGCATGAACTGTCCTAAACGTGATGTTTCCCAGATGTATTTGGACTGCAAGTTCCAGAGCTTCCAACCAGAATGGCTAGGGTCTAACACTAACTGTAACTTTTAGAAATTGTAGTTTCTATACATTTGGAGGATATCCGTTTGGGGAAGAGGCAAATGGATTGTTTGAATTATAACCTGACCTACAGACCATGGCAGTGATGGCGAACCTTTTAGAGACCGAGTGCCCAAACTGCAACCCAAAACCCACTTATGTATCATCAGGTGCTGGGTGGGCGTGGCCCATTGGGTGGGCATGGCCAATTTGGTGGGCGTGGCCAATAGGGTGGGCGTGGCTGCAGTGGTAACAACAGACTGGGTGGGAATAAAAAGTTCAATCAATCAATTCCAACTTTGCGAGATCTTTTTTTTTCCAGCGAGAAGTTGAAATTGATTGATTGATTGAACCTTTTTTTTTTGCACACGGCGGCGGAGGTCTAAAATGAAAAGGTTTTATAAAACCCAGCTGAAGGCCTAGGACTGGGGCGACGGCGCGCGTGCCCACAGAGAGGGCTCTGCGTGCCACAGGTTCGCCACCACGGAACTATGAAAAACAGAGGCATAATTGTGGCTTTAATCTATGAAATTAACGTATCTTGACTTTTCTGCTTTAGTTTTTTTTAATTAATTTATAATATAAAATACAAAAAGAAAAGAATAGGAAAGATAGTGGAGAGAAAAGGGAAGAGAAAAGGATAGGAAAAAGGGGGGAAAGAAAGAAAAGGCGTTGACTTACGACTCACTTTGGTGCAGTAGAATAAGATAATAACATCAAACCTCAACTTTTTACTTTTACATAATAGTATAAACCAGCCATTTCTATAACAACAAACCTATCTAATCGGTAAAACCTAAATTCAAAGTTTCATTTTTTTTCCACCTCAACCACAAAGTCCAAAGTGGTTTCTGCTTTAGTTTTCTGAGTTTGATTGGCATAAGAGAATGGAACAGATGACACTTGCTTCAACCATGTGTAAAATCAGCTTGATAAGCAGCAAGCTAAACATGGGATCATCTGCTTTATTAGATCAAAGCAATTGCTTGGGTCATTCATTCATTCATTCAGAAATTGGAACCTTATGAATGAATTTCTGCAATATACTGTAGGTAGCCCTTGACTTATGATCACAATTGGGACTGGAAATCCGGTTGTAAGTCCTTGTGATTGTAAGTCGAGGCACCCCTATTTGAACGTTTTCCCAACATTTTTCACAGCAACCGTTAAAAAAACCACCACGATCATTAAGCAAACGGTGTGGTTTCTATGTGAACCGATTCTTCTGAGCAGGGGGTTGGACTAGATGACCTCCAAGGTCCCTTCCAACTTTATTATCATTAACATCATCATCATCATCATTAACATTATTGTTGTTGTTTTGTTATTGTTATTGTTATTATTATTATTATTAAATGAGCGGTTTTTGCAAGAATGTGGGAAAACTGGCAAAAAAATCGCAAATCGTGGTCACATGACCTTGGGATGCTGCATCTGGTCAGTTGCCAAGCGTTTGAAGTGTGGTCATGTGACAAGGGGGTTGGCATGACGTTTTACAATGTCCAGAAGTGCTTTACAGAACTTAAAACACCCATTCCGAGCTGTAATAATAATAATAATAATAATAATAGTAAAGTTGGAAGGGACCTTGAAGGTCATCTAGTCCAACCCCCTGCTCAGGCAGGAAACCCTATACCATTTTGGACAAATGGCTGTCCAGTCTCTTCTTAAAAACTTCCAGTGTTGGAGCATTCACAGCTTCTGGAGGCAGGTTGTTCCACTGGTTAATTGTTCTCACTGTCAGGAAGTTTCTCCTTAGTTCTAGGTTGCTTCTCTCCTTGATTAGTTTCCATCCATTGCTTCTCGTCCTGCCTCGAGGCGCTTTGGAAAATAGCTTGACTCCCTCTTCTTTGTGGCAGCCCCTGAGATATTGGAACACTGCTATCATGTCCCCCTCCTCCTTCTCTTCGTTAAACTAGACATACTCAGTTCCAGCAACCGTTCCTTATATGCTTTAGCCTCCAGTCCCCTAATCATCTTTGTTGCTCTTCTCTGTACTCTTTCTAAAGTCTCTGTACTCTTTCTAAAGTGATGACCAGCTGTAAGTCAAGAGCTACCTGTGTGATGTACTTATGTGTGCATTGACTCTTTCCTTTTCCATTCTCTACTTTCCTTGTAGGCTTATGAATACTGAGAATGTAATTTTACAAGCCAGAGAAGAAGAAGGAGCAAAATATGAGCGTACTTTCATGGCCTCTCAACTGATTGACTGGTTGATCCAGGAAGGGGAGGCTGCCACGAGAGCGGAGGCTGAACAACTCGGTCGCAGACTTCTGGAGCATGGAATTATCCAACACGGTGAGAAATGTCTTCTCAGTTACATAACTCTATCAGGATGACAAAGGTCCCCATAAAGGGAGTAGAAAGATGGTACAAGAGGCATCCTGTTTAAACCCAAGGATGGGGAACCATTTTTAAACTCAAAATGGCATTCTGGCTAAAAATGGCAGCATCCATTTTTCCACGTTTGCATTTTGTTCCAAGTATTATTCTTGGTGTACTTTATCCAGCCAACCGTAGACCATGAGATATAAATTGCCAATTGTCAGGTGGGATTAATCCCTCTTCCTCTTTTGCAATTCCATTTTGATGGAATTCCCATGGACTGCTACATACCCAGCTAACAATTTTGTTGCATTCATCGGGAAGGATCACCACTTGTGTGAGCTTCATATCAATATCTCAGAGGTGCTTGTTCCAAAAGGCAACTTTGGACTTTCTTGGTTTTTTCTTTGAAAACGTTTTGCTTCTCATCCAAGAAGCTTCTTCAGCTTCATGGATGAGAAGCGAAATATTTTCAAACAAACAAACAAGAAAGTCCAGTTGTCTTTTGGAAAAAGCGCCTCTGAGATAACCATGACCTGGATGATTGTGAATCTCCATTGACGCTTCGTATCAATCTAGAACATTTTGATCGCAGTCTTTTCTGTGGTCTCCATTGCTCTTATTTGAGAGACACCTAGCTTTTCTTCCATTCTCAGGGAGGTTTTGGCAATGTTCATAGTAATCATTTCTACATTGAGCAAAGCTGTCATTCCTAGTGCAGTATAAGTTTTCAAGGAATTCAACCAAAATGCTGTCTAAAATGAAGGCCAATTTAAAGCAATGGAATGGGGGTTTTGCCTTCTCTGTCTTAAGTGAAATAAATCCCTAAGGGCCGGGTCTATGTTTCACTTGCTGGCAGTTCAGGAACATAACAATTCTGCTAATGATAAGAAGTAGACTGGGAGCTAAGAACTGTTATGTTTTCAAAGCCAAAAGAAATGATGGGAACATTCTCCCCCACAGCAAATCTGTACTTGGAAATGTAGAGTCACAACCGAGATGTTGCAGACCGGGGCTTTAGATTCATGTTGTGCAAAGAATTATGGGGAATCTAATCTACTTAAAGGAAATGGCTTTGAGAAAGACTGGTGCTTTATTTATTTATTACCAACCCTGGATTTAATATGGAAATAATGTAGTGATTCCTGCCAGCTTGTCTCTTCTTAGCATTAGACTTTGATTTACAGGATGCCAGCTGCAAAGTGGACAGTATAATTGCAAGGTGAATTTAGAATAGAATAGAATAGAATAGAATAGAATAGAATAGAATAGAATAGAATAGAATAGAATAGAATAGAATAGAATAGAGCTGGAAGGAACCTTGGAGGTCTTCTAGTCCAGCCCCCTGCTCAAGCAGGAGACTCTACTGCAGTGATGGCGAACCTTTTAGAGACTGAGTGCCCAAACTGCAATCCAAAACCCACTTATGCATTGTCGAGTGCCGGATGGGTGTGGCCCATTGCTTAGGTATGGCCCATTGGGTGGGCGTGGCTGCGGTGGTAACGGCAGACTGGGTGGGACTAAAAAGTTCAATCAATCAATTCCAACTTTGCAAGACCTTTTTTTTTCCCGCAAGAAGTTGAAATTGACTGAACTTTTAATTTTTTGCACATGGTGGCGGAGGCCTAAAGCGAAAAAGTTTTATAACACCCATCTGAAGGACTGGGGCAATGGCATGTGCCCACAGAGAGGGCTCTGAGTGCCACCTCTGGCACCCGTGCTATAGGTTCGCCACCACTGCCCTACTGTTTTGTTCTTTGCGTTGGTAGGCATTGAATAGTCAGAGGGTGTTAACAGATAAGTCTTTATTTGAGTAAAACAGAACAACAACAAAATGGCTTCACCCCCTTTTATACAATCTCTCTGGGGCGTCGCCAGCCAATCATTGCAACCGCTTTTCCCGCTTGAATTGCCTGCTTTAGTTATTCCTTGCAGACAGCAAGTCTCCCCGGGCAGACCACGTGGTCTGCTGATTGTTCGGGTGCAGCTCCCTGCACCTGCTATCAATTAAGCTCAGTACATAACACCTATCATTTCAGATAAGAGCCTGTCCAGTCTCTTCTTAAAAACCTCCAGTGATGAAGCTCCCACGATTTCTTAAGGCAAGCTGTTCCACTGGTTAATTGTCCTCACTATTAGGAAATTTCCCCTTAATTCCAGGTTGCTTCTCTCTTTGATTAGTTTCCAACCATTGTTTCTTGTCCTGCCCTCTGGTGCTTTGGAGAACAATTTGATATCCTCTTATTTGTGGCAGCCCCTCAAATATTGGAATACTGCTATCATGTCACCCCTAGTTCTTCTTTTCTCTAGAGTAGCCAAACCCAAATCCTGCAACCGTTCCTTGGTCTTTTTCCTTTTGTCTCAGAATGGCAGGAACAGGGAAAGGCAATAAAAGGAAAAAGGCTGTCCAAGGCTAAACTGGGTACAATGAACTTTTATTTTTCATAATATCACAGTTTGAATAGTGAAGAGTAATCAGCTTAGTTCCTACATGGGTCATGCCGGCAAGCTCCCTGTAAAGGAGAACAAATAAAATGGTCCATGTGTGACTTTAAAAAACCCTGCTGCAATAAGAATTATCAGGAAGAGAAATTAGTTTTTTAAAACATGCCATCATCAACCTAACATTATAGGAATACAGCAGGATTATAAATTAATTTGGAATTATAGGTCCACGGGTGGTCAACGGGATCTTCATACCGAAGGACAAGGATCTTCCAGAACTTCAGATAACATGCTGAGTAAACATGAAGAATAATCAAATGGATTTTCCTTGTTAGATTACCCAAATGTTTATATCTATATCTATCTACCTGTCTACCTATCCATCTACCTCCCTCCCTATCTATATCTATTATATCTATATTTATAGATCTGTATTTATGTCTACATATCTATATCCATTTTTATCTATCTATCTATCTGTCTGTCTATCTATCTATCTATCTATCTATCTATCTATCTATCTATCTATCTATCTATCTATCTATCTATCTATCTATATCTATATCTATATCTATCTCTCTGTCTATCTGTCTATCTGTCTATCTGTCTGTCTATCTGTCTATCTATCTATCTATCTATCTATCTATCTATCTATCTTTCTATCTATCTATCTATCTATCTATCTATCTATCTATCTATCTATCTATCTATCTATCTATCTATCTATCTATCTATCTATCTATCTATCTATCTATCTATTTGCCATTGTATCCCAACTTTGAATAAGTTCTTATTTTAAAAGTGGCTGAACAATAATGAACACTTAGCATTGGAGTAACCATTTTAAAAGATCAAAATGCTTCCTATGTGTGATCTTATCATTTCACTGTGACTTCTAAGATAGCGAACAAGACTGCAGCATGAAGTCATTCAAATAAAGCAC